TTTCTATTTATATATAGAGTAGTATGACTGAGGTACAGGCTCGATTTTAAATACCCAGTCTGTATGACTGGTACATAGGCTATATTTGTACAGTTTGTATGACTGGATACAGGCTATTTTAATACAGTTGTATGACTTGGCGCAGGGTCATTTAATACAGTTTCTGGACTGGAAACGGCTCTTTTTATTAACACATGTATGACCTGGTACAGTTAATTTTATAAAACAGTTTGTATGCCTGGTAACAGAGGATATTTTAATACAATTGAATGACTGGAACAAGGTTAATATGGTACAGAATGTAACCGGGGTACGGCTATATTATACAGTTGTATGACTGGTACGGCTATTTTATACAGTTGTATGACTGTACAGGTTTTTATATAACAGTATGTATGACTGGAAAACAGGCTATTTTACAGTTGAAATGGACTGGTACAGGCATTATAATAACAGTTAGTAATGACAGGCTAACAAGATAATTTTAAACAACTTGGTAAACCTGGTACAAGGCTATTTTAAACAGATGAGAATGACATCAGGGCAGGCTAATTTTACAATACAGTTTATGACTGTGGTACATAGGCTAGTTTATCTACAAGTTGTCGACTTGGTACAGGTTATTTATACAGTGTATTACTTGTACAGGCTATATTATACCGATGCATGATTGAGTACAGGCTTCATTAACAGAGTTGTATGACTGGTACAAAGCTATTTATACAGTTGTAAGACCTGGTACCGGCATTTTAATTTACAGTTGTCTGGCTGGTACAGCAGATTTTAATGCAGTTGTTTGACTGGTACAAGGCTAATTTTATACAGTATGAGTTGACTGGTCAGGCTAATTTATACTGTTGTAAAATACTGGTACTAGCAGAGCAATTTATACAGTTGAGAGACTTTTACAGGCTTTTTTAAAAATACATTGATTAGACTGGTACAGAACTATTTTATAACAGTAGTATGACTTGCACAAGCTAATTTTATACAGTTGTATGATGGAAATCAGGTCTATTTTATACAGGTTTTATGCGCGACTGGACCAAAGGCTATTTAATACAGTAATATGACTGGTACATGGCTATTTTACATTTGTAAGACTTGGTTACAGGTTATTTTATAACAGATGTATTACTGGTACAGACAATTATAACAGTTATAGTATGACTTGTACAGGTTTTTTTTTATTTAATACAGTTGTATGAACTGGTACCGCTATTATATACCAAGTTGGTAATGAACAGGTACAAGGCTATATTAATACAATTGTGAGACTGGTTACAGCAGGTTATTTTACACTGTTGTAGACTGTAATAGGCTATTTTATACGCTGTATGACTGGTACAGCAGGCTATTTTGTACGTTGTATGACTGGATACAGACAGGCTATTCTTATATCAGTTGTGTATGACTGGTACAAGTTATTTTATACAGTATCTGCGTATGACTGGTACTCTAGTCGGCTATATATTATATCACTTGTAATGACTGTTACACAGTTTATTATTGTACAGTTTGTATGACTGGTAACGCCAATTTTAAACAGTTGTATAGCTTGTACAGGCTATTTAATACAGCTGTATGACTGTAACAGGTTAATTTTACCTACAGTTTGTCATGACTGGTACAGGTTATTATTATACCGTGGTATGACTGGTACCAAAGGTTATTTATGTACAGATGTATGTCTGATGTACACAAAAAGCCTATTTTTATACGTTGTATAACTTGTAACAGGCTATTTTATACAGCTGTATGACTGTACAGGTTATTTTCTACTACAGTTGTATGACAAGGTACAGGTTATTTGTCTATACATTTATGACTGGTACAGGCGTTTTTTATTTCAGTTTTAATGTACCAGTGGCAGGCTATAATTATCATTCTTATGACTTGTCCAGGCTATATTCTACAGTTGATCTGACAGGTACACAAGCTATTTTATTCAGTTTAAAATGACTGTACAGGCTATTTTATACAGTTGATGACTGGAGTAACAAGGCTAATTTATACAGTTTGTATGACATGTTTCAGGTTATTTTAATACAGTTGTGTGTCTGGTATATGCTATTTTATAACAAGTTGTATTGACTGGTACAGGTTATTTTATACAATTGTATGACTGTTACAGGCAATTTTATACACATCTTTGTAGACTGGTACAAGGTTATTTTATACATTTGAATGACTGTGTTACAAAGGTTATTTTATACAATTGAGTATGATCTGGAACAGGTTATTTTGTACAGTTTGATGTCTGGTAACGGCGATTTATTTATACATTTGTATGACTGTGTACAAAGGCTATTTTTATACATCTTATGACTGGTTCAGGTTAATTTTATGCAGTTGTATGACAGGTGACAGTTTTATTTTATACAGTGTATACGGTACAAGCTATTTTTATACACTTGTATGACTGGTACAGGCTGTATTATACGTTGTATACTGAGTCCAGACTATTTAAAAATACAGTTGTATGGACTGTAACCGGTTAATTTATACACTTGAATGACTGGTAAGCTAAGGCATTTTATGCAGTTTTGTGTGACTGGCACAGCTATTTTATACAGATTATCGACTGTACAGGCATATTAAAACAGTTTGTATGACTTGTACAAACGGATTAGATTTTACTGACATATGAATTACTGGTACCATGATTATTTTTGTCAGTGTTTTAAAATGGTACATGCTATTTTATACAGTTCGTCATGACGGTACCCGAGCTATTACTATACAGTTGCTAATGAACGTGCAGGACTTTTTTATACAGTTGTTAAGACTTTTATTAGCTATTTATACCTTTTATGACTGGTAACAGGGCTATTTTTACAGTTGTATGACTGGTTCAGGTAATTTTAACTGTTGTAAGCACTGGATACAAGGCTATTTTGTACGTGTTATAACTGGTACAATATGGCAATTTCTAAATACAGAGTCAAGACTGTGTACAGGGTTTTTTATTACATTGTATGACTGGTACAGGCTATTTATATAAACATTTGTAGATGACCTTGGTAGCAGGCTATTAATTATAACCGTTTGATATGACTGGTACAAAGGCATTTTAAACAGTATTATGACTGGTTATAAGCTATTTTATACAGTATATGACAGGACATGGTAATATTTATACAGTTGTATGACTGTTACATGTTATTTTTATAACAGTTGTATGACTGGTACTGGCAATTATACATTACAGATAGTATGACTAGCTAAAGGTTTTAATATATTCAGTTTGTATGGACTGTACATACATGCTATTTTAAACACGTCTAAAAATGACTGGAACAAAGGTTATTTTAATACAGTTTATGACTGGTAAAGGTTATTTTTATACAGTTGTATGACTGGTACAGGCTATATTTATTAAACAGTTTATAAGACTGGTACAGGTTTATTTTCTATCACAGTTGTGTGACCTGGTACACAATGTTAAAGTTTTAATACAGTTATTATGACTTGTACAGGTTTATCTTTATACAGTTGAATGACCTGTGAACCAGGCTATTTTATACAGTATGTTGTATGACTGGTACAAGGCTATTTTAATACAGTTTATGACTGGTAACAGTGTATTTTAATACAATTGTGTGTAACTGGAACATGTTATTATTAAAACATGTCTATGACTGTTACATGTTAAATTTAAGACACATGTGGCAACATCTGGGGTATCTTATTGTAGACGTATCGCCATCCAAGTGGCTTTATAAATACAATTCCTAAGACATAACTAGAAGCCAGTAGGAATATATACAGAAGACGAGGTAATCAGGATCCCTCGACCTTTGGAGAAGGTGCGAAGAGACCCGTAAAGTACGTGGAGAATGCTGAAGCAGACAGCAAGGAGCCTATGTCGCTTATATAGAACGTCAGGTGTAGCAGACGAGGGCAGTCCACTGGTAGGCGGATTTCCCCAGTGGAAGAGGTCTCTTTCCAAAGAGATGAGCGTATCTAGTTTGAAGTAGTAGTTCAATCTGTAGTCGTGAGGTATATGTACATGTCCTCAGAATTCAAGATTCCAAGATTATGCAGTGGTCTGACAAGTTGTGATAAGAAACGGTAATTAATGCCGACAATATGAAAATTAAGACACATGTGCAACATCGGGGTTTCCTTTATACAACACTCAGGCTATTTTAAAAAACCGATGTAAGACTGGAACAAGGCTTTTTATACAGTATGAATAACTGGAGAAGGCTATTTATACAGTTTGGATATGACGTACAGGCTATTATGTACCCGTATGCTATGGACTGATACAGTCTATTATATGCAGTTGTATGGCTGGTACAGGCTATTTTATGGAGTCTGTATGACTGGTACAAGGCTATTTATAGATTGTCTTGAGACAGTGTACAGGCCATAAATATTATACAGTTGTAAGACTGGTAACAAGGCTATTTCTAATACAGTTGATAAAGACTGCGGTAACCTCGGCTATTTAAATACAGTTTATGACTAATAGCAGGGCCATTTTATAACAGTTGATGACTGGTACAGGCTATTTTATAGACTTTGAATGACCGGTAACAGGCTATTTTCGAGTACAGTTTATGACTGGGTACAGGTTATTTTGTGCAGTGTAAATAACTAGTACAGGCATATTTATGCAGTTGAATGACGTACAGTGTTATTTTGATACAGTTGTATGACTGGTACAGGCCTCTTTATAAATTCAATTTGTATGAACTGGTACATGGCTATTTTATACAGCGTGTATGACTGGTACAAAGGACTATTTTAAAACAGTGTTATACTGTTACAGGTTATTTAAACAGTTGTATGACTGTAACAGGTTAAATTAAAAGACACATGTAGGCAACATCTGTGTATCTTTATTTGTAGACGGTATCGCCATCCAGTGCTTATAATCAATACAAATTCTAAGACCATAAACAAGAAGACAGTAGGAACGATATCCAAGAAGACGAGGTAAATCAGTCCCTCGACCTCTTGGAGTAGGTGCTAAAGATCACCGTAGTCGTATGGAGAATCTGAAGCAGAAAGCCAGGAGCCGGCGCATATATAGTAACGCAGGTGTAGCTGACGAGGGCATAGTCACTGGTAGAGGCCGGATTCCCCCAGTGGAAAGTAGGTCCTTCCCAAAGAGATGGTTAGTTGTATTATTATAGTTGTCGTAGTCGAGTGAAGTTTTATGTACATCCTCAGAATCAAGATTCCATGATGATCAGTGACTGACAAGTAGTGCTATAGAACGTGTATTAATACCTATGCACAAGATGAAATTAAGACATGTGAGCAACTTGCGGGAATCTTTATACACATCTGGCATTATTATACAGTTGTATGACTGGAACAGGCCTCTTTTAAACAGTTGTATGACTGTAACATGGCTATTTTATAACAGTTACTGTCAATGACTGGTACAGGCCCCCCCTAATTTATACAGTTGTATGAACAGGTACAAGCTTCTTTTTATGTCGCAGTTGTATGACTGGTACAGAGGCTCTTTTACATACAGTTCTGTGACGTACAAAGAGCTATTTTAGTACAGCTTGTCTAAGAACTGGTCATCAGTGCTATTTTAATACACTAGTATGGCTGGTACAGTCCCCCCCCCCACCCCCCTATTTTAATAGAGTTGTATGACTGAGTACAGGCTATATTTTAATAGAGTTGTATACCTGGTACAAGGCTATTTTTATACTGTGTATGACTGGTCCAGGCTAATTTACATACAGTTGTAGACTGGTTACACAGGCTTATTTTAATACAGTTGTAAAATGGAGCATGGTACATAAAGGCTATTTAATAGAGTTTTTTTAATGAGTCTGCGGTACAGGCTATATTTAAATACAGTTGTATGACTTGTACAGTTATTTTTTATGATACAGTTGTATGACCAAGTACAAGGCTCATTTTAATACATTTTGTTAATGACTGGTAAAGGCTATTTTATAGTAGCTTGTCTGACTGCTACAGGTTATTTTAAACGATGTATGAACTTGTACAGGCTCTTTTATACATTGTATTGACTAGGTACAGGCTATCTATTATACAGTTGTATGACTGGTACACAATGCTATTTTACAACAGTTGTATAGACTGGTACAGGCTAATTTATTATACAGTGTGTATTGACTTGGTACAGGCTTTTTTTATATTGTTGTAATGACCTCGGTACAGGATATTTTATACAGTTTATGACTGTACAGGCTAGTTTAAACAGGATTTAAGACAGGTACAAGGCTATTTTATTAGCAGTGTAAGACTGTAACATAGGTTCCTTTATACAGTTGTATGAGTTGTAAGGCTAATCTTTTACAGTTTTGTATGGTCTGGTACAAAGTTATTTTATACATTAATGACTTGGTACAGGCTATTTAACAGTTGTATACTGTACCAGACTATTTTTAGAGTACAGTTGATGTGCGACTGGTTCAGACATATTTGTATATAACAGATTGAATGACTGGATACCAGGCAGATATTATACAGATTCTTGAGTGACTGGTGCAGACCCTATATTTATAACAGTTTGTAGTGACTGGTACAGGCTATTTATTATATAAAGTTTAAGACTGTACAGGCTATTTTTATACCAGTTGAAATGTACTGCTAACAGGCTATTTTAATAAGTATTAAGACTTGCGGTACATGGGCTATTTTTATACAGTTTTTATGACTGGTACAGGCTAGTTTATAACAGTTTAAGCACTGGAACAGCTATTATAACAGTTTATGATGACTGGCACGGTTATATATTATACAGATGTTATTAACTGGTACAAGCTCATTTTATATACAGTTCGTAGTGACTGTATAACAAAACAGTTAAAATCTATACAGATTTAAGACCGGTACAAGGCTGATTAAAATAAACCGTTGTATGACTGGTACACAGGTATTTAATACAGTTGTATTACTGGTACAGGCACTTTTTATACAGTTGTAATGACTGTTACGGTTTTTTTATACCTTTTTAATGACTGGTACAGGCCTATAATAATTACAGTTGTTGACATGGAAACAGACATATTTTATACAGTTGTATAACTGGTACAGGTATTTTATACAGTTGTATTACTTGTTACAAGAGCAATTTTATACAGTGTTGTATTGACTGGAACAGGTTTATGTTCTTATACAGTTTTAATGACTGGTACCGGCTATCTTTATACAGTATGTATGAACTTACAGACTATTTTAACAGTTGTAATGACTGGTAGCAGGTTTAATTTATACAGTTGTAAAATTACTGTACCGGCAATTTTATACAGATTGTAATGACTCGGTACAAAGGTTTTATTTTATACAGTTGTATGACTGGTACAGGCAATTTTATACAGTTTGTATGAACTGGTACAGGTTAATTTATACAGTTTGTGACTGGCACATGTTTATTTATATACAGTTTGTGACTGGTACAAGATGGCTATTATTATACAGTTGTATGACTGGTACAGGTTTTTTATACAGTTGGTTGACCAGGTACAGGCTATTTTATACAGTTTTATGACTGGTGCAGACTATATTATTTATACAAGTTTATGACTGGATACAGGTTATTTATACCCGTTTGTATCACTGGTACAGGCTATATTAATATCGTTGTATAACTGGTACAGGCTATTTTATAGCAGTTTATGACTGGTACCAGACTATTTTATACAGTTTGATAATTGTAACAGGAAACCGGACACCAACAGAAGTAGACCTCAACTTCAGCTTCGGGATAAACCTAGGAAACTGTCTAAGCTATTTCGTCGACTTTGTCTGAGGCCCTGTTCGGGGCATGATACAGTGAGACGTAGACATGATAATCAGCAGTGTGTGTGGACGGTAGGATACCTGGAGGTGGGAAGGGAACGAACTCTGGCTTGAAATTGTATATTACCTGCGGAGGATAGACTTCAACCTCCGCCTCTGTTGGTTGAAACGTCAGTCCTAGATGCGACAGTAGAGTGCTCACTGTGATGCTGTGTTATGTGTCTTTAGGTCTGTGTGGTCTGCTGAAGAGGACCTCAGACAGAGGTCGAAATATACACATCAACATCTTCCTGTCGGGATTTCCTGTTATCCTCTGCTCCATCTCGTCTTCCTTCATGTTGTTGTTGTTGTTAGGGTTTATAGGGCACTGACAGCTCCTCTTTCATGTTATTAGGGTTTATAGGGCCACTGACAGCTCCTTCTTCATGTTGTTATTAGGGTTTATAGGGCCACTGACAGCTCCTTCTTCATGTTATTAAGGTTTATAGGGCCGCTGACAGCTCCTTCTTCATGTTGTTATTAGGGTTTATAGGGCCACTGACAGCTCCTCTTTCATGTTGTTGTTAGGGTTTATAGGGCCACCGACAGCTCCTCCTTCACAGTAACATTCTGGTAGAGTATACTTTACACTTGTCAGTTGATAAATAAGACATAATGAGGGTTATGGCTTTTCATTGTGAAGACGTTTCGCTCGCCAGGGACTTATTAATGTGGACCGATGAAGTCGGGCGAAAGGTCTTCAACAGTAAAATGCCGTAACTGGCATTGTGTGTGTTATTTACTCTCCGCTAGAGTTGTGTCTTCCAGGTGTGAGAGCAAGTTACCCTCTGATCCCGCTTGTTATTCCAGTCATTTCACCAACCATTACGATGCATGTTCCAGGGGGCCAGTCCCTTCTCCCACCCACCACCCACCACCCACCACCTAGCCACCCAGCTGGTGAAGCCAGGTGGGTGCATTCCTGCTATTTTCATGTCTGTGTACCGTCCCTACTGATATATTTTACCCAGTTCCAGAAACGAAGGTTACTGTTCCACCCACCAGTGTGGCAGCAGCTACACTGAGGTCCCGCACAACTACAGTGACTGTAGCTACGACACCTGCAGCTAAGACGTCTACAACAGTCACATCTGCAGTTAAGATGTCCTCCACAACTGCATCGCGGAGAACCACAACTGTAAGCCACATGTTACCCAGCTGTCATTAATGTTTTATAAGTTATGAAGACACCACAGAACTGGTGGGGTTTGAACCTATGGCGAGTGAGTCATAAAACCCAGTGAAAAGCAAGGGTGCAGTGGGCACAATAAGAAAACACTGCATCAACATTCGTGGTCCCAGATTATTCAACATCTTACCCAAAGATATCAGAAACACTGCTGGGACAAGTGTGGAAGTCTTCAAGAAACTGGACAAGTATCTTGACCAGGTGCCGGGTCAATCAGGCTGTGACAGATGTGGGGCAACGGGCCACCAGCAGCAACAGCCTGGTTGACCAGGCAAGCACCAGACGAGCCTGGCCCATGGCCGGGCTCCATGAGTAGAAGAACTCTCGGAACTCATCAAAGGTATATCAAAGGTAATATGCAAGTCACTGGGCCAGCTGGCTACAATAAAATTAATTGACCCGCCATGGGTTCGATCCCCACCCGTACCGTGATTTGTTTGCAATTGTGTTCTTGCTATTTAGTAAGTCATGGTAACTAAGAAGAACTGAGAGTACTAACCTCGTTGACGAACAGAACTGTACTCTGATGTATGAACAGAACTGTACTCTGATGTATGAACAGAACTGTACTCTGATGTATGAACAAAACTGTACTCTGATGTATGAACAGAACTGTACTCTGATGTATGAACAAAACTGTACTCTGATGTATGAACAAAACTGTACTCTGATGTATGAACAGAACTGTACTCTGATGTATGAACAAAACTGTACTCTGATGTTTGTGTTGTGCAGATCACACAAGATTTTATAACGTGGAGATGGTACAGTTTATGTTGTCTGTATAGTTTATGTTGTCTGTATAGTTTATGTTGTCTGTATAGTTTATGTTGTCTGTATTGTTTATGTTGTCTGTATTAGTTTATGTTGTCTGTATAGTTTATGTTGTCTGTATAGTTTATGTTGTCTGTATAGTTTATGTTGTCTGTATAGTTTATGTTGTCTGTATAGTTTATGTTGTCTGTATAGTTTATTTATTTGTCCCGTATATGTTTATGTTGTCTGTATAGTTTATTTGTATGTATAGTTTATGGTTGTCATGTATATGTTTATGTTGCGTCTGTATAAGCTTTTATGTTGTCCTGTATATTTATGTTGCTGTATTAGTTTATGTTGTCTGTATAGTTTATGTTGTCTGTATAGTTTTGTTGTCAGTTTTTGTTTTATGTTTTTGTCTGTATAGTTTATGTTGTCTGTACAGTTTATGTTGTCTGTATAGTTTGTGTTGTATCTGTTATTGCTGTTTATGTTGTCTGTATAGTTTATGTTGTCTGTATAGTTTATGTTGTCTGTATAGTTTATGTTGTCTGTATAACTTATGTTGTCTGTATAGTTTATGTTGTCTGTATAGTTTATGTTGTCTGTATAGTTTATGTTGTCTGTATGTTTATGTTGACGTTTATGTTGTCTGTTATAGTTTATGTTGTCTGTATAGTTTATGTTGTCTGTATAGTTTTATGTTGTCTGTATAGTTTTTGTTGTCTGTTATTGTTGTATGTATACTTATGTTGTCTGTATAGTTATGTTGTCTGTATAGTTTATGTTGTCTGTATAGTTATGTTTGTTGTATAGTTTATGTGTTGTATACTTATGTTGTCTGTATAGTTTATGTTGTCTGTATAGTTTATGTTGTCTGTATAGTTTATGTTGTCTGTATAGTTTATGTTGTCTGTATTAGTTTATGTTGTCTGTATAGTTTATGTTGTCTGTTTAGTTCTATGTTGTCTGTATAACTTATGTTGTCTGTATTAGTTTATGTTGTCTGTATAGTTTATGTTGTCTGTATAGTTTATGTTGTCTGTTATTATGTTGTGTATAGTTTATGTTGTCTGTATATTATGTGTCTGTATGTTTATGTTGTCTGTATAGTTTATGTTGTCTGTATAGTTTATGTTGTCTGTATTGTTTATGTTGTCTGTATAACTTTGTTGTCTGTATAGTTTATGTTGTCTGTATAGTTTATGTTGTCTGTATAGTTTATGTTGTCTGTATAGTTTATGTTGTCTGTATAGTTTATGTTGTCTGTATAACTTATGTTGTCTGTATAGTTTATGTTGTCTGTATAGTTTATGTTGTCTGTATAGTTTATGTTGTCTGTATAGTTTATGTTGTCTGTATAGTTTATGTTGTCTGTATAGTTTATGTTGTCTGTATAACTTATGTTGTCTGTATAGTTTATGTTGTCTGTATAGTTTATGTTGTCTGTATAGTTTATGTTGTCTGTATAGTTTATGTTGTCTGTATAGTTTATGTTGTCTGTATAGTTTATGTTGTCTGTATAACTTATGTTGTCTGTATAGTTTATGTTGTCTGTATAACTTTATGTTGTCTGTATAACTTATGTTGTCTGTATAGTTTATGTTGTCTGTATAACTTATGTTGTCTGTATAGTTTATGTTGTCTGTATAACTTATGTTGTCTGTATAGTTTATGTTGTCTGTATAACTTAGTTGTCTGTATAGTTTTTGTTGTCTGTATTTTTTTGTTTTTTATGTTGTCTGTATAGTTTATTGTTGTCTGTTATAATTATGTTGTCTGTATAATTATGTGTCTGTATAACTTATGTTGTCTGTATATTTATGTTGTCTGTAATAACTTATGTTGTCTGATAATTTATGTTGTCTGTATAACTTATGTTGTCTGTATAGTTTATGTTGTCTGTATACTTATGTTGTCTGTATAAATTTATGTTGTCTGTAAACTTTATGATTGTCTGTATAGTTTATTTGTCTGAAAGTTTAGTTGGCCTGCATTATAGGTTTATGTTGTCTGTTTAGATGTTGTTCGTATAAAATATGTTGTTGTAAGTTTATGTTGTCTGTTAGTTTATGTTGTCGTTAAATGTTTATGTTGTCTGATAATAATTCCATGTTGTCCTGTATAGTTTTGTAGTTGTCCTGTATTAAACTTATGTTGTCTGTGGTGTTCTTGTTGTCTGTAAACTTTATGTTGGTCTGTATAGTTATGTTGATCTGTTTAACTTATGTTGTTAGTTTTGTTGTCTGTATTTGTTTATGTTGTCTGTATAGTTTTGTTGTCATAATGAAATTATGTTGTCTGTATAGTTTATGTTGTCTGTATAGTTTATGTTGTCTGTATAGTTTATGTTGTCTGTATAGTTTATGTTGTCTGTATAGTTTATGTTGTCTGTATAGTTTATGTTGTCTGTATAGTTTATGTTGTCTGTATAGTTTATGTTGTCTGTATAATTATGTTGTCTGTTAGTTTATGTTGTCTGTATAGTTTAGTTGTCTGTATAATTATGTTTTCTGTTTTTTTCTTTAATTTGTTGTCTGTATAGTTTATGTTGTTGTATAGTTTATGTTGTCTGTATAATTATGTTGTCTGTATAGTTTATGTTGTCTGTATAGTTTATGTTGTCTGTATTTGTTTATGTTGTTGTAAGTTTATTTTTGTCTGTTTATTTATGTTGTCTGTATAGTTTATGTTGTCTGTATAGTTTATGTTGTCTGTAAGTTTATGTTGTCTGTATAGATTTTATGTTGTTCTGTTTAGTTTATGTTGTCTGTATAGTTTATTTGTTGTATAACTTATGTTGTCTGTATAGTTTATGTTGTCTGTATAGTTTATGTTGTCTGTTAATTTTTGTTGTCTGTATAGTTTTGTTGTCTGTATAGTTTATGTTGTCTGTATTGTTTATGTTGTCTGTATAGTTTATGTTGTCTGTATAATTATGTTGTCTGTATAGTTTATGTTGTCTGTATAATTATGTTGTCTGTATAGTTTATGTTGTCTGTTATATTTATGTTGTCTGTATAGTTTATGTTGTCTGTATATTTATGTTGTCTGTATAGTTTATGTTGTCTGTATAGTTTTGTTGTCTGTTTTAGTTTATGTTGTCTGTATATTTTTGTTGTCTGTATAGTTTATGTTGTATGTTTTTTGTCTGTATAATTTTGTTGTCTGTAAGTTTATGTTGTCTGTTAGTTTATGTTGTCTGTTTAGTTTATGTTGTTGTATATTTTTTGTGGGCTGTATATTATGTTGTCTTTATAGTTTTGTTGTCTGTATAGTTTATGTTGTCTGTATGTTTATGTTTTTTCTGTATATTTTTGTTGTCTGTATAGTTTATGTTGTTGTATGTTTATGTTGTCTGTATATTATGTTGTCTGTATAGTTTTTGTTGTCTGTATATTATGTTGTCTGTATAGTTTATGTTGTCTGTATATTTTTGTTGTCTGTATGTTTATGTTGTCTGTATAGTTTATGTTGTCTGTATAATTATGTTGTCTGTATAGTTTTTGTTGTCTGTATAATTTTTGTTGTCTGTATAGTTTATGTTGTCTGTATAGTTTATGTTGTCTGTATAGTTTATGTTGTCTGTATAGTTTATGTTGTCTGTATAGTTTATGTTGTCTGTATAAAATTTTGTTGTCTGTATAGTTTATGTTGTCTGTATAATTATGTTGTCTGTATAGTTTATGTTGTCTGTATTAATTTTTGTTTTTCTGTTTTAATTTTTGTTGTCTGTATAACTTATGTTGTCTGTATAGTTTATGTTGTCTGTATAATTATGTTGTCTGTATTTGTTTATGTTGTCTGTATAGTTTATGTTGTCTGTATAGTTTATGTTGTCTGTATAGTTTATGTTGTCTGTATAGTTTATGTTGTCTGTATAGTTTATGTTGTTGTATAGTTTATGTTGTTGTATAGTTTATGTTGTTGTATATTTATGTTGTCTGTATAGTTTATGTTGTCTGTATATTTTTGTTGTCTGTTAGTTTATGTTGTCTGTATTTTATGTTGTCTGTATTTGTTTATTTGTCTGTATATTATGTTTCTTTAATTTTTTCTGTATAGTTTATGTTGTCTGTATAGTTTATGTTGTCTGTATAGTTTATGTTGTCTGTATAGTTTATGTTGTCTGTATAGTTTATGTTGTCTGTATAGTTTATGTTGTCTGTATAACTTATGTTGTCTGTATAACTTATTTTGTCTGTATAACTTATGTTGTCTGTATAACTTATGTTGTCTGTATAACTTATGTTGTCTGTATAACTTATGTTGTCTGTATAACTTATGTTGTCTGTATAACTTATGTTGTCTGTATAACTTATGTTGTCTGTATAACTTATGTTGTCTGTATAGTTTATGTTGTCTGTATAGTTTATGTTGTCTGTATAGTTTATGTTGTCTGTATAGTTTATGTTGTCTGTATAACTTATGTTGTCTGTATAACTTATGTTGTCTGTATAACTTATGTTGTCTGTATAACTTATGTTGTCTGTATAACTTATGTTGTCTGTATAACTTATGTTGTCTGTATAGTTTATGTTGTCTGTATAGTTTATGTTGTCTGTATAGTTTATGTTGTCTGTATAACTTACTGTACAGTTTACTGAAGACAAATACTCATTCTGTGTATAAGTATTTTCTACACATTTTGAGTGGACCAACATTATAGATAATTTGGAAGTCCTGTTTTTCACGACTCACCGCCTTAACCCATTAAGAAAAAATAGGTAATTTAACTTTTTCAAAATTATGATATGTTAAATTTTGTTTAATTACCAGAAAAAAATGCTATATAACGCAACATAATTCACACATCTGGTGTAAACCTTACCTGGAGGGGGTTTTCGGGGGTCACCGCCCCCGCGGCCTTGGTATTAGAAAACGTTTCAGTCCTGGGACCTTGAAACATTGCCAGGACCGAAACGTTCTCTAATAAGCGTGTGCTGGTGTTAGATGGGTTGTGTTACAAGTGTTGGAAATTTAAGTACGTTCGTCTTTCAGCAGGTGACCCGGACAACGTCTAGTGTTGCGGGCAACACAACACAAGTGAACCTGCTGTCAGCGACCTCTTCCTCCTGCCCAAACAACACCGGCGCTATCGGCATATTCGAGATGTGGTCAGACCCTTACCTGCTGTGTGCTGACCCTCCCGCTGACCTGACCTTCGTCGCTGCGGACCCCACCGAAGTTTGTGGGAATCCCAGCAACAAAATGACCTGCATGAGCCTCTCTTGCAACACCAACACCATCATGGTCGGCTTCAACGGCAACTATGGCCCCTGTAGCGGCAGTTTTACCAGCAGCCTGGCGGTGTTGAATTCCAATGACTGTCAGACAGTCGGGGGAAACATGCAGTCTGGTCCAGGGGTCAGTTCTGACTGGAAGCAGTGGAGACTGTGCGGCGGGAACGCAACTAACTTCTACGTCATGACGGGGTTGGGTGCTAACTCGAATTCCGACGGCAGCTGGACTTACAACTCTATCACCTGCTGCCGCGTCGTGAAGAAATAGCTGGCAACGTAGAAAAGGGATTACGTCAAGCCGGATAAAGTGGTATGTGTGCGACACCAGGATAACCACTTATCTATCCAGGTTCACTTGTCCCAGTACAACATTCATTTGGATTCCTAACTGCTGACAAAAATATATTTCTTCACACTAATCGTAGGTAATTATGTTCCAAGTGTACCCTAATTAGTCTCATAAGAAGCACTAAGTGACATTCCCTGCTACTGCACGAGCGTCATTAAGGTTGCACGTCACCTGTTCACTAGTCAAGATTATTTTAATCCCTAAAGTAGGGATTAAAATAATCCCTCAGGGGGTATATACTGAGAGATATACACATCATTAAGTATATACTCGTATATATGTTAAGTTTTACTGAAGTCTGACTGTTAATTATATAAATCTTACTATGTTGTCCTCTGTAGGATTTTCAAGATAACTTTCAGTATACTGACAGCATAACTCTCAGTATACTGACAGCATAACTCTCAGTATACTGACAATATAACTCTCAATATACTGAGGGTATAACTCTCAGTATCTTGACAGTATAACTCTCAGTATACTGACAGTATAACTTTCAGCGTACTGACAGTATAACTCTCAGAATAATGACAGCATAACTCTCAGTATACTGACAGTATAACTCTCAGTATACTGACAGTATAACTCTCAGTATATTGACAGTATAACTCTCAGTATACTGACAGTATAACTCTCGGCATACTGAGAGCATAACTCTCAGTATCTTACAGTATAACTCTCAGTATACTGACAGTATAGCTCTCAGTATACTGACAGTATAACTCTCAGTATACTGACAATATAACACAATATACTGAGAGTATAACTCTCAGTATCTTGACAGTATAACTCTCAGCATACTGACAGTATAACTCTCAGTATACTGACAGCATAACTCTCAGTATCTTACAGTATAACTCTCAGTATACTGACAGTATAGCTCTCAGTATACTGACAGTATAACTCTCAGTATACTGACAATATAACTCTCAATATACTGAGAGTATAACTCTCAGTATCTTGACAGTATAACTCTCAGTATACTGACAGTATAACTTTCAGTGCACTGACAGCATAACTCTCAGAATAATGACAGTATAACTCTTAGGATACTGACAGTATAAATCTCAGCATACTGATAGTGTAATTCTCAGTATACTCACAGTATAGCTCTCAGGGTACTGACAATATAATCCTCAGTATGCTGACAGTATAACTCAGTATACTGACAGTATAACTCTCAGTATAACTCAGTATACTGACAGTATAACTCTCAGTATAACTCAGTATACTGACAGTATAACTCTCAGTATAACTCAGTATACTGACAGTATAACTCTCAGTATAACTCAGTATACTGACAGTATAAATCTCAGTATAACTCAGTATACTAACAGATGTATAATTTCATTATACACTGGTGTTATATACAACAAATTTATAAATTAATTATAATAAATTATACAATATTATGACAAATACGAGAGAATTATTTTCATTATTTCAACATTGTAAATTTTAGGTCGTTTTTGATGTTAGGTCAAAATAATGTTTGTTATTCTTTATCGTTATTTTAAATAATTGATATCGTAGGTATTGAAGCTATTGTATATTAGTGTTGGGTGTGAGGGAACCCCTAGGCTTGGTCCAGGGACCAGGCTTGGTCCAGGGACCAGGCTTGGTCCAGGGACAGGCTGGTCCAGGGACTAGGCTTGGTCCAGGGACTAGGCTTGGTCCAGGGACTAGGCTTGGTCCAGGGATCAGGCTTGGTCCAGGGACCAGGCTTGGTCCAGGGACCAGGCTTGGTCCAGGGACCAGGCTTGGTCCAGGGACTAGGCTTGGTCCAGGGACTAGGCTGGTCCAGGGATCAGGCTTGGTCCAGGGACCAGGCTTGGTCCAGGGACTAGGCTTGGTCCAGGGTCAGGCTGGTCAGGGACCAGGCTAGGTCCAGGGACCAGGCTTGGTCCAGGGATAGGCTTGGTCCAGGGACCAGGCTTGGTCCAGGGACTAGGCTTGGTCCAGGGATCAGGCTTGGTCCAGGGATCAGGCTTGGTCCAGGGACCAGGCTTGGTCCAGGGACTAGGCTTGGTCCAGGGATCAGGCTTGGTCCAGGGACCAGGCTAGGTCCAGGGACTAGGCTTGGTCCAGGGACTAGGCTTGGTCCAGGGATCAGGCTTGGTCCAGGGACCAGGCTTGGTCCAGGGACTAGGCTTGTCCAGGGATAGGCTTGGTCCAGGGATCAGGCTTGGTCCAGGGACCAGGCTTGGTCCAGGGACTAGGCTTGGTCCAGGGATCAGGCTTGGTCCAGGGACTAGGCTTGGTCCAGGGATCAGGCTTGGTCCAGGGACTAGGCTTGGTCCAGGGACTAGGCTTGGTCCAGGGATCAGGCTTGGTCCAGGGACTAGGCTTGGTCCAGGGACCAGGCTTGGTCCAGGGACTAGGCTTGGTCCAGTGATCAGGCTTGGTCCAGGGACAGGCTTTGGTCCAGGGACCAGGCTTGGTCCAGGGACTAGGCTTGGTCCAGGGACTAGGCTTGGTCCAGGGGACTAGGCTTGGTCCAGGGACCAGGCTTGGTCCAGGGACCAGGCTTGGTCCAGGGACTAGGCTTGGTCCAGGGACCAGGCTTGGTCCAGGGACCAGGCTTGGTCCAGGGACTAGGCTTGGTCCAGGGACCAGGCTTGGTCCAGGGACCAGGCTTGGTCCAGGGACTAGGCTTGGTCCAGGGACTAGGCTTGGTCCAGGGATCAGGCTTGGTCCAGGGACAGGCTTGGTCCAGGGACTAGGCTTGGTCCAGGGATCCAGGCTTGGTCCAGGGACTAGGCTTGGTCCAGGATAGGCTTGGTCCCGGGACCAGGTTGGTCCAGGGACTAGGCTTGGTCCAGAAATCAGGCTTGGTCCAGGGACCAGGCTTTGGTCCAGGGACCAGGCTTGGTCCAGGGACTAGGCTTGGTCCAGGGACTAGGCTTGGTCCAGGGACTAGGCTTGGTCCAGGGACCAGGCTTGGTCCAGGGACCAGGCTTGTCCAGGGACTAGGCTTGGTCCAGGGACTAGGCTTGGTCCAGGGACCAGGCTTGGTCCAGGGACTAGGCTTGGTCCAGGGACCAGGCTTGGTCCAGGGACTAGGCTTGGTCCAGGGACTAGGCTTGGTCCAGGGATCAGGCTTGGTCCAGGGACCAGGCTTGGTCCAGGGACTAGGCTTGGTCCAGGGATCAGGCTTGGTCCAGGGACCAGGCTAGGTCCAGGGACCAGGCTTGGTCCAGGGACTAGGCTTGGTCCAGGGATCAGGCTTGGTCCAGGGACCAGGCTAGGTCCAGGGACCAGGCTTGGTCCAGGGACTAGGCTTGGTCCAGGGACCAGGCTTGGTCCAGGGACTAGGCTTGGTCCAGGGACCAGGCTTGGTCCAGGGACCAGGCTTGGTCCAGGGACCAGGCTTGGTCCAGGGACCAGGTTTGGTCCAGGGACCAGGCTTGGTCCAGGGTCCAGGCTTGGTCTAGGGACCAGGTTTGGTCCAGAGACCAGGCTTGGTCCAGGGACTAGGCTTGGTCCAGGGACCAGGCTTAGTCCAGGGACCAGGCTTGATCCAGGGACCAGGCTTGGTCCAGGGACTAGGCTTGGTCCAGGGATCAGGCTTGGTCCAGGGACCAGGCTAGGTCCAGGGACCAGGCTTGGTCCAGGGACTAGGCTTGGTCCAGGGATCAGGCTTGGTCCAGGGACCAGGCTAGGTCCAGGGACTAGGCTTGGTCCAGGGACTAGGCTTGGTCCAGGGACCAGGCTTGGTCCAGGGACTAGGCTTGGTCCAGGGACCAGGCTTGGTCCAGGGACTAGGCTTGGTCCAGGGACTAGGCTTGGTCCAGGGATCAGGCTTGGTCCAGGGACCAGGCTTGGTCCAGGGACTAGGCTTGGTCCAGGGATCAGGCTTGGTCCAGGGACCAGGCTAGGTCCAGGGACAGGTGGTCCAGGGATAGCTTGGTCCAGGGATCAGGCTTGGTCCAGGACCAGGCTAGGTCCCGGGACCAGGCTTGGTCCAGGGACTAGGCTTGGTCCAGGGACCAGGCTTGGTCCAGGGACTAGGCTTGGTCCAGGGACCAGGCTTGGTCCAGGGACCAGGCTTGGTCCAGGGACCAGGCTTGGTCCAGGACCAGGTTTGGTCAGGGACCAGGCTTGGTCCCGGGTCAGGCTTGGTCTAGGGACCAGGTTTGGTCCAGAGACCAGGCTTGGTCCGGGACTAGCTTGGTCCAGGGACAGGCTTAGTCCAGGGACCAGGCTTGATCCAGGGACCAGGCTTGGTCCAGGGACTAGGCTTGGCCAGGGATCAGCTTGGTCAGGGACCAGGCTAGGTCCAGGGACGCGGCTTGTGGTCCAGGGACTAGGCTTGGTCACCAGGATCAGGCTTGGTCCAGGGAAGGCTAGGTCCAGGGACCAGGCTTGTCCAGGGACTAGGCTTGGTCCAGGGACCAGGCTTGGTCCAGGGACTAGGTTGGTCCAGGGACCAGGTTTGGTCAGGGACCAGGTGGTCAGAGACCAGGCTTGGTCAGGGACCAGGCTTGGTCCAGGGACCAGGCTTGGTCCAGGGACCAGGCTTGGTCCAGGGACCAGGCTTGGTCCAGGGACCAGGCTTGGTCCAGGGACCTGGCTTGGTCCATGGACTAGGCTTGATCCAGGGACAGGCTTGGTCCAGGGACTAGGCTGGTTTCAGGGACTAGGCGTTGGTCCATCCCAGGCTTGGTCAGGACCAGACTCTCCAGGGAATCAGGCTGGTAGGGACCAGTGGCCAGAGTCCCGGCTATGGTCGAGGACCAGGCTATGGTCTAGGAAGCAGGCTTGGTCTAGGGACCAGCTTTGGTTTATATACCAGTAGACAGACACCCAGGAGAGGGTAGACTGGTGTTGGTGCCATCCCACGGTATCATGTGACAGACACCCAGGAGAGGGTAGACTGGTGTTGGTGCCATCCCACGGTATCAGGTGACAGACACCCAGGAGAGAATAGACTGGTGTTGGTGCCACCCCACGGTATCAGGTGACAGAAACCCAGGAGAGAGTAGACTGGTGTTGGTGCCATCCCACGGTATCAGGTGACAGACACCCAGGAGAGGGTAGACTGGTGTTGGTGCCATCCCACGGTATCAGGTGACAGACACCCAGGAGAGGGTAGACTGGTGTTGGTACCATCCCACGGTATCAGGTGACAGACACCCAGGAGAGGGTAGACTGGTGTTGGTGCCATCCCACGGTATCAGATGACAGAC